TAGTAGTAGTAGTTTAGTAGTAGTAGGACTATGATGTCACACTAGTTTCGTCCTCTCCTCCCCCCTGTACAACCATTGGTAGAAACGCAAATCGAAGGACCATCAGGACCGACTGCGAGTGTCGCAAAAAATGTGTTCTGGTCGAGGCGATGATCGGCCCGGTCCTCAACCCTTGCTTGGCTTCCGGCGCTGCTTGCTCCGCTGCGCTCAGCTTGTTAAAACTGTCAATCGCACAAGGCTCTGTGTGCCACGAGCTGCCAGTGAAATCGCAACCTCCACACCCGGGCCTATAGCCGTGGCCGGACTTCGCCGGTGCTTCCGCTGGCCGTGGCTGCAGCAGCTCAACCGCGGAGGCCTCAGTAAGGGTGGCTGCAGGCTGCATCGAACAGCATGCTGCATGGAGCAGCTGTTTCACGAGGGACGTGCTACTACATCTGAAACTCCAGCCCATAGAGTCCATAGAGGCACTCTCTATCACTGTCCGCGCGCTGCCGGCTAAGCTACGGTCATTGGTCTGCCTTTCTCTGGCAAGGGCCTCTGCTGCCGTTGCCTAGCAGAGCGGGGGAGTCTTAAGGCTGGGCCATTGCAGGCAAGACCTGCGTGGGTTTGCCAGGAAGATGATATCAGGGAGTAGTTAGGGTCTTGCTCACAGCAGTGGGACTAGATTGCACCAACGCAAGCACACGACGGCAAATTAAAGAAACAACAGGCGCCTTGCTGTCTCAGGCCCTAGAATTAGCAAGTCCCCGTGTCGTACACGACATGTCTTGTGGGAACACCTCCATCTTATCGCCATGAGTCAGCATGAGCGCAATTATCTTCTGAGGACACTGCCCGAATGTTGGCAACCGCTGCTGCAGCAATGGCATTTGCCGCCGCGGACATCTAGAATCTATTATACAGTGATGTTGCCGAGCTGAAGGCATCTCGAGGCTCCGTCACATACTCAGCCGTGCTCTTGCCAAGGATGTTGGAACAGGCAAGGCTTGTTTTCAGTTTTCAAGAGCAGGCACGCCATGACCTAGATACGCGTAGAGTCCGAGCTGGCTGACTTGCAATGTTGCTGTTCCCATGTTCGGGGTAGAGGGCTGCTGTGGGATGCACTGGGTCTGAAGAGGAGTTGCGGCCTCGAAGCTTGGTTTGCTTCTCAGTTCTCCTTACCATTGCGAATGGTATGTTGCTCAAGTGGTGCAGGTGACGGGATCCGACAAAATGGCGCGTGCCTCAACCATGGAAACGGCTTCTTGCTGCACTAGCTCTAGCTTTCAGCATGCTGTCCGTGTCATGATGGTGCTACACAGCAGCTCTCTTTCAAGACGGGCTACCTCGTACTTTCGCAATTTTCGATTACCTGCATTTCCAGGCTCCATCACTTGTCAAACAATTTGCCACTGACGACGTTTTCGACGGCTTTTCCTCGGGCAGCGCATCTATGCTGTGCAGCTCGAGTCCAAGCACATGGCGCAGGTTTCACAAGAGTTCAATCGCGCGGCTTTGTCGTCTCGTCGGAACGCTAACGCTAGTCCTTAATTAGGACTCCTCTTTACATGCATATCAATATGTGCAGAACCACGCAAACCGGATCCTTGACTAGCTGAAACTGCCGCATCTCCAACGCCTACATTCTAGACCTGGAGCCATCAAGCCAAGGCCGCTGCCGAAGGTCTCTCCCGCCAGCCCCAATCTCTTCTGCATCTGTTCATCCGCCTCGAAAGCGGGCATACATGAGCCGTCTTTTTGCTTCTTCTCGGCAAAAGCCAAAAGCATAGGAAGGCCCCCCTCCCCGCCCCCCCTGCCCTTCATCTCCGTGCTTGTTTCCTCCAGGCCTTAATGTCCAGCCGTCAGGCAGTCGTCCGCCCGTCCACCGACGGTGTTGCTAGCATTGGGCGGACGGTCGGTGGAGCTGCATGCTGGGAGGGGCCAGCAAGCAAGCTGTGGCAAGTTGTTCCCTGCAGGCACCCGCAAGCACAGGAGCAAAAATAGCACTACTGGGCATGCACGAGATGGGGCTCATGAACATTGACCTCCAGGCGCGAATCATCACATCCAACTCACGATGGAGATAGTTAGCGGTATGGGTGCTCGAGCTGCCGTCACTGCAGGGACGATGCACGAGGAGGCACGAGGGCATGCCTGCTCGAAGGAGAGTCCTCCAATCGTCCCAAAGCGACCACACCCAAAAGTGTACTGCAAGAGCTCCCACTCCAAAAGTCGTCGAGACTGCGTGCGCCAGACTCCGGCAATTTTGCAAGTTGTACGACACTCCTCTACGATGCGCGCGTGACAGGGTTGCCCGGTTGCACAATACAAGCACAGTGCATGGAGGCCGGACATCATGGAGGCTGAACAATCTAGACAAATGGGCATTGGTATTCCACGGGGCTGACGTCCAGGCGTGAAATCGCGCATACGACTGAACAAAGCTGCATGTGCCGAGTTAGAGCTGTCACGCCGGATCAAATGCCCCAAAAACGCAACTAACAGATGAGCACCCGGTGAATCTGTCTAAAGTGCGTACGCGACTCGTTTCGGCAGGACCTGTGTGGGGCATATATGCTCATAATTAGGCAACGTGGATATGAGGTCGCTCAAGTATTCAAGTACGAGAAGCACTGGCTTCCGAACGAAAATTGCATCAACTCCAAATCGACTCAGTAGAAACTTGTTCGCGGGCGAGAATGTATTTATTTATGTATTTATGGATGGAATTAAGTACTGGCAACTGACTCTCCCTCCCTCCTTCTGTCCAAGAAAGATCAAGATAGGACATCCAACGTCGACACGATTGAGACATGTCTGCCCGCTATATAACCTCCTCCCAGACACCCCGAAAACATGATTCCCAGCCACATTTTTTTGCCGGGGGGGGAGGGGCATGTCTGTCTCCTGTATAACCTCCTCCAAGACGGGGTGGGGGTGGGGGACCCTTCCGCATATTTGACACTCACACTCAGACAAGCCTGGCAAAGTCTGTAGCGATACTCTGGCACATGCCACCGAGTACCATTGGCCACCTATTTAAAATGGTCGGCCCTGAGGTAACCCCACGTACTCCAAGCCCGGGTGGGTATGTCGCATGAGCTTCACGATTTTCTTAGTCAGGTCGAGGTTGGCCTGGACCTGGGTACTAGAGATCACCAGTGAAAACCGAAGGAATCGGGATGAAACATGCCTGAAACCCCTTAAAACCAGAAGCGCAGTGAGTATTGGGAATCTTTCCCAGATATTGTCTTGCAACGCCAGATACTTGCTCCCACATATATTGCGAACGTGTCCTTCTCTTTTTTTGGTATTGTCAATTTCAGCATTTTTCAGCTGTGAGGCTGCAGCTTGACGCTGCGGCGGACACGCATAAGAAAACAGTGCGTGGGAGGGGCAAGTGCAGTTAAGTGAATCTACTTCCTAAGCTTGCACCTCCGTCAGAGATTGAGATTTAAACTTCTAGACTTCTGGAATGCAGCGCAGAGTCCATCCTGCGTCGGCTTTGCCCCCTTTTTCGCCGACCACCGATGACAGGCTCCCATCCGACAAATGGTGCCCCGAGCGGCTGGAGCGGCGAGAGCTCGTGAGGTCCCGCGTGACGGTGTCGTTACTTCAGAACTTCCCTTGGCGGCCAGTAATGATTGGTCAGTGCCCGCAAAGCGCGACTTGGCCTCCTGAGACTGAGAGGGCATGGTGCCACGCTTCTTGTCACATATTCTCTTTTGTTGCTTGGAGAGGGGAGCAAGCGACTTGTCCGGACAAGATCCTCTGTAAGTACAGCACACTGCAAAGCCTTCAAGTTCGATCACGAACTTTCAACCTGTATCCAGATCGCTCCGAGTCGGGCATCCCACCTCTGCGGCCTCTGGTGACATCCTGGCCAGCGACATGCAAGTGATCAGTCGTGTCTGCTTGACAAAACCACAGCGACTCAAAATCCCAGAATCTGGTTTGCCGGCGTTCGTAGCATAGCATCGATGGCCTCCTCCGATGGAGGCCTCAGCACGAGACGCAATCAGGCTGCGTGTGGCTCCATGCCCCAATACAAATCAGAAACCTGCCAAAGGAGAGCCCTGCCAGTCATTGAGGCTAGCACTCGCCATCCTCGTTGATGACCTACATGGACTGCGGATGCTCTGCAAGCACCAAGAAGGAAAGGACAACGAGGAGGAATCTCTACCTCCGACTCTGCTTCCTTTTTCTCAAGGTCTCGACTTGCGAGATAAATCAAAAGAGCGGTCGGCCATTCTGTGCAGGAAGGCTGGTTCTGTGCAGTGCCATCAAAAGGCTACCTGAAAGTATTCAAACAGTAGAACAAACACGTCCAGAGCTAGGCGGCAGCTCGACTTCTTTGAGTCACTGCGTAAGCATGTCCTTTGACACAATCATCTGCGTTTGCTGAGCAATGCAGAGTTCCTAGCGAGCATTATGTGACATGAAATGGAGATGCTGGCAAGCTTGCGAATGGAGAACTCCGAAGCAGACAGTTCAAGTCTTAGCCTGGCCGATGACCCCTATAACAGTCCAATGCGGGCCTCATCTGTGGGGATCACCCAGATCTGCGTTGAGAGGCGCGCAGAGTCCAAGCGAGTGTTCTCCTTGGTTTGCCGTTCCGACTTTCCTTTCTCTGGGTAATTAAACACAGGCCGGCAGGCCGACACCTGATCCACCAGTTTCAAAACTCACACTCAAGCGACGGGTTCTACGCAAGGCAAATCTACTTGTGCTGACCGCCATTTAGGCTTACGCGTGCTGTAGGACTTTTAGGACGTTGCGAGGGCACGCATGCGCTTCGGCACGGTCCTCCTCTGTGCCGACAATAACGATTATATTCTACAGGTGCTACCGCTGGCATGTCTTGTGGACTGTGTCGAACCAGCCCAGAACTGCTGCATCGACCTGGAGCGGGGCAATCGTGACGGAGACTTTGCATGCAGAGAAGTCGCAGAGAAGCGGCCGCCCTTCGCTTGGTTCGCCTCCTCCAACGGAAAGTATCTCTGTCAACGAAGGTGATACCAAGCAGCTATTCACTTCGAAGAGACGGGTGCAACGCGGGGTAGGTCCTCGACGATTTCAAGCCCAAGGCGATCTAAGCCCTGGCAGACAAGTGTCCTGGCATGGGCGGCCACTCGATGCACTCTGGGAGCGATACGAAGCTTTCTCCCGCTCCTTAACAGGTGGGACTTCTCCCCGAGACCTCCTGTGAACACCAGCGCGTCAACCTGCCAAGTGCTTGCGGCATCTCAGGGAGGAGCAGCACCGCTAGAAGGCATTACCAGGCAGCCTGTCCGTCAAGCGCAACCATGAAGGCACCCAAGTATTTGCGCATCCGGTAGACTTGGACCTGGCAAGGCTTGATCGATTCAATGCCACGATGCCAAAGAGAGACTTCCGGGGCCTGGCCTCCTTCGCCAGAGTCCCGCGTGGCTTCTGCTCAAAGTATTCTTGTTCAACGTCCCGGTCGTCAGACAGGCCACAGAGCCCGAGCAACCCTGATTCCTCGCACAGGGCTCTATGAAAGACACCAACAATGACACAGCCCGAGCTCAAAGAGAGTCTTTGTGAGCATCAGATGCCTTGTTCATCAGGTTGTTGACTTCCTTCACAGAGTATCCCAACTGCTCAATGAGATGGGAAGGCACAGCTGGATCAATGTCGCCACACCGTGTGCCCATGACGAGGCCCTCTAAAGGAGTCATTCCCATGGTGGTGTCAACGCATCTGCCCTGCTTGATTGCTGCCATCGATGCGCCGTTGCCCACGTGGCATGCAATGATGTTCAGCTTGTCTAAAGGCTTCTTCAGCACTCGGGATGTCTCCTCTGCCACATAAAGGTAAGAAGTGCCATGAAATCCATACTTCCGGATGTGGTGGGTCTTATAAAGGTCATAAGGGAGAGCATACATATATGCACGAGGTGGCATTGTCTGATGGAAGGCTGTATCAAAAACAGCCACTTGGGGGCAGTCTCTCCCGAACAGCTCTTCGGCAACCTCAATGCCCAAGATGTTCCACAGGTTGTGCAAAGGGGCGAGGACAGTTGCATTGCGAACGGCCTGCATAACTGTCTGGTTTATCAAAGCAGCAGATTTAAAACTCTCACCGCCGTGAACGACTCGATGACCCACCGAGCTGATGTTATCTTTGCCAGGCAACAAATCAACAACGCGGCTCAAAGCCGTCCGGTGATCCGGGAGATCCACCTTGTGGACTTTTTTGCCCTCATGCGTCTCCTCCTTGATTCGGCACTCGGCCTTTGTGGCAATGCCCTCTGCCAGCCCATGCACCACCCGACTCCAACGGGCAGGAGCTCCGGCAATGCTGAAAAGAGCATACTTCAAGGAACTGCTCCCGGCATTCAACACAAGAAGTAACTCCTTCGAGGCGGCCATCAAAAGAGAACCAAGGCATAGACGAGCTCAGCTGAAGTGGCTGCCGGGATTCCGGATTCAAACCAGCTTCAGCTTCAAGCAAACTGAAGCTTGACTGACTAAGCCCCTGAGAAGCCCCAACTTCACCGCAAAGCTGGTAGGTGGCCCCAGATTAATTGGTTGCGAGCTCACCGAAGGGAGTAGCTAGAACCCAGATGTGCTGAAAAGGACTGTCCATTCTGCTGCTTGGGCCCCTGCTGCAAACTCCATGTCAGGTTCCGCACAAAAAAGACCTCAAGAAATCACGCCGAAAACTCTTAGGTTTCAATCGAATCCGAGCTTGTGGCTACGTACGAGGACGCCAGCGAGTGAACTGCGCCTGGGAGGGCTTTGGACAAACTCTGGCTTGAGGTAGCAATGCTGCTGGCATCGGTTCTCTCTCTCCCACTTCGACTTTTGCGGTGAATGAACTGCATCATCCAGTCAAACAGCTCTCTCCATCTCGCGTGCTTGCATTTAGGTTCCAGTCTGTTCGCCGCATTTTCTGCTGCAGCTGTTTGGCGTGCTGGTGATAATATAGTGAAGGCTGACCGGAACTGTGCAGTGGACTGGCACGGATAGAGATGCATCTGTGCTTTGGCAAAGTGCGGCCAAAGATGCTCTACAGCCCCTTGACACGACTCCTCTCTCGTCTCTCGTGGCTTAGCTCGGTCGCGGGCAATGTGTCGCCCACCGCAGTGTCTCCGGCTTCAAGTTTCACAGCCTGAACGCTGGAGTCCTGGAAGCTGAGATGCACATATCGTGTCCCAGCTTGCCCAAGCGGCGATGCGATCAACACTCGCTATTATTACACTTTGCTCTACTTGTGAACGTTACAAACTCAGCTTCAACTGGCTTCAACATGACGAAATGCCCGGTACCCACATCCAGTCACCTTGTCGAGCTGGAAGAGTGTGCCCAAGTAGCGATTGTTGTCATACGGCCCGCCAAACAACCTGAAGTGATTCAGTTCGGTGTCTGTAAAACTGCACAACGAAAGCCAACAAAGGCTGATCAGATTTTTCACAACTTACCCAGAGGCCAAGGTTTCGGCTGCCCAGGCCGAACCACTGTAACACCGAAGCCCCGCTGTGTGGCCTCGCTTCAGACTTTACTACCCGCAGCAATGCAGGGCCAGGGAGGAGGAAATACGAGAGCAGGTTGTCCTGATGGCCTTCGTGGGCCGTGAAACTCACGCTGTCTCGGGGATTATATCCAAATTCACTTCTCCCGTGGAGGTGCAGCTTCGGAAGATGCGACAGCAGTCGACAGCGGTCAGTGGCCAGGAGGAGCCGCAAATGCTCATAACCCAAGCTGTCTGCCAACCTAAATCTCGCCAGGTGTTTCGTGCCGCGGAGTCCCCCCCTAGCTAACAGGCAGCAGAAATACTCGCTACATCTCGCTACATCATGTACGTCCAACAGATCCAACAGCANNTTCCTTCCTTCCTTCCTTCCTCCCTATCTCTCCCCGCCCTTCCTTCCTGCCTTCTTTTCTTCAGCACTGCCTTCTTCTCTTCTATGGCAAAGGGAAAATTTTTTTGATCGTAGAATTGTTTTTTGATAGGAAAAAATCCCGCAGGGGAAATACTCGCTGTTACATCTCGGTACATCATGTACATCCAACAGGACCCCCCCACAGTCGATGTCTCACTTGAAATATCCGGACATGAGCTCGAGCACCGGGCAAGCTCGCGCACGGCCGCTTCGCCCTTTGCCTGGATGCCATGCGGAGAGGATGCAAGGAAATCCAGGACAACATCACAAATTTTGTTTGCAGTGTCCTCAATCATCCATCAAAACACCCTCTGCGAACCTAGTCGAAGCAGTCCTGCTTAGTTACGAACAATGGTTCAGATTCCAGCTTTCGTCCATGAGGACGTGTAGCTTTGCTGAGCTTGCCACTTTTCGATCATGGCCGCATGCGAACTTATACACGATCACCTGGCCTTCGCATCCAAGACACCGCCACCGTTGAGGATGCTGTACGGAAACCCATCGCGCCGTGTGACACCTCTGCCATAGAAGGGCTTGCCAGTTCACAATATCAAGTGCTTTCATGGAGCTGCAGCCCGGAATCCTGAACCCCGGGCCCTGGACATCCTGGACCTGGAAAACATCTGCTGACCCTGCGAGCTACTAGCTCTACAAGAGTAAGACTGAATAGAACGAGCTGTATCATCTTCGGAAAGGAGTTTAGGCCCAAAGGCCGAAACCCACACCAAAGCTCGACACCTCTCGCCAAACTCTGAGCAGAACGCTGCAACCTTTTTCAACGTTCCTTCCAACACATTCATGGCGAACAATTTGACCTCGCTACGGAGAGCCACTGTTCTCCGTGGGAGGATAAATAAAGTAGCCCTTGCAGGTACTGCCATTCAAGCTAGCGGAGGCGGCAGGGCTAGGGAGAGTCGTTGGACGCCAGACTTTGACTTTGTAAGCTAGAGGACAGCGGAATACCAGCTTCAACCAAGAAGGTGGAATTTAGCCATAGCCTTAGATACAGCGATCCACGAAATGCCCTTGGAATGGCAAGGGGCCGGCCTATCGAAGACATCAGCACAAAGCGACGCTTCGGCCTTCATGGCACCAGCGCAACACGGGCTTGGGTCTCGATTGCTGTGCCTACAAACCTGGTCGAAAGGATTCGAAAGGTGCAACACGCAAAGTCTGCCAGGCATTCGAGGAGTGGCTAAGCTCAGGACCCCGAAGCCGCAGACCTGGTCACGCGCTCTATGCAAGCTCTGCGGGACGATGCCACCATTTTCATCATTTGTTTGTCGAGGTTTGCTGGATCGCCCATGTTTCTGTGAAGCAAGTCTGGCGGCTTCCTGCACGGCAAACTCGAGATGAAACCCAGCCATCTTCTGCCGTTGGCGGCAAACCCAGTGAGCAGAGGCATCGGGAATGACGGACTGAAGCTCAACACCTGTTTTCATATTCGGCATGTCTCATGCGGCTACAACAGGTGCTTTGCTCGATTTGTCGTCCACCCCTGCCGAGGCCAAAGCCAAACATGCGCAGCATTCTTCACACCGAAGTGATCTACCTCAGACATCCATGGAACGGTTTTTGGGGACCGAAATTCTCCCAAGTGAAGCTTGCCAGCCAACAGGCTTCTGGGAGCCGGACGGATTCTGGATGATTGCCCTTTTCCCACCTCTTTGCAAAGCTCATCAACACGGTGGCAGGCTGAATGCCGAATGCCACTTGGCCGGACACGCATGTACCAAGCGCATCTGTTTCGTCAGTGCTCGTTAGTTCTTTCATGATCCCATCCCAGACCCTCCTGATCGCTCGCACTTGTGCTCGGATGAATTCCGAACGCTACTTGACAGGACTGACGTTGGAACGCCATCAATGAATCAAGACATGACACACATGCAGGCTAGCATGCAACGAACGACAAAACTGCAACGAAACACTCGCATCGCAGGGACTCAAATGACAGTAACCGTTGCCAGCGCTCTGACGAAGGTTCCAAAGGCTCCAGCTGTCCCGCAATGCCGAAGGCCGGGACACCGGTAGTGCAAACCTGAGGCAAAGTGTCGAGTCAGGACTTTGAGTTGGTGACTCGCAACAACTATGAAGGTGCGAGCTTTGAGGCACTGCGGCGACGGCGTTTCTTCGTCTGGGCCTCCCACCACTGCATTCGCAGTACCTCGGTGGACGCTATCCACGGCTAGTGCTGGCTCCGCATGCTGCGGCCGGGTCGTTTGCTGAGCGGGTCCTGGAGGGCGAGGGCGTCTCGAGAGTCCTCAGCTCGGGAATCTGTGCCGCGGGTGAGCCCAGGCTCGGCTCAGTCGCTGAGGCCACGGCCGCCTCGAAAAGCTCGAGGCCCGAGATGCCTTCCGCCTCACAGGAGGTGCAGGAGGCTCCGCTTGGAACTCTTTTGGCAAAGCTAGGCCGGCTAGGCTGAGGAAGCCACCCATTTGGCATTCTCTTTGTTCCGAAGGACCTGGGAGGAGAGTCAAGTTGCTACGAACAGCGAACCAGAAGGAAGGTGGTCCACGTTCTTGTGCTGCTGCGATGCGGTGAGGAGGGTACTGGTTCTTTCAATGGCTGGGTCGCGGACTCCGTGCACTCGGAACATGTTCATGCTACAGAGCCGCTGAGTGACAAGTCGGCCCACCTTGGCATGAGCAAGCTGATGCGCATGCGAAGCGGATCTGAGGCCTCTGGTGGACCTCTCAATTTTTGCTGACCTGGGGGGGGGGGGCTGTTAACGCTACGGAGCAGGCAGTCGCTTGCGGTCAAAGCAACAAGCAAACAGCACAATACAGTCAAACAAAGAACCAATGTGTCGAATTGATCGTAGATTGCATGGCAGGAGAACTAGGATCAGCCCGACAAGGGCATCCCCGTCTGAAGCCCGACTTGCAGCATCAGCTCGTCGGGGTTTTCCGAAAGACAACACACCCATCTCAAGCTTGGCTGGGTCTGAATGAAGTTCAAGGTCAAGTGTTTATTAGGGTGGTGTGGCTCTGGCTGCTCTTGATTGTGGCGGTAGTATTTCTGTTGTTGCTGTTGCTTCTCTGGCGGTCGTGATGTTTCCAGTGATTGCAGTTTCCTGCATGCCCTCGCCACAAGGAAAAGGTCTAACGTTTAGCCCGCCACCGATGATTCTGTTTTTAATTGTCACCATCGGTGCATTATTGCCGTAAGTTGGGCACAAGGCTGGAAAGACACTCTCGTTGTCGTTGCTGCTGCGGCTGACATTTGTGTTTGCAAGCTGCACCGACCATATTCTTGGGGGGGAGCGGTGGCGGCTTAGTTCTTTTTCGACTGTTGGCAGGTCTTTGGCAAGACATCTCGTACCTCGTGGGAACCTGTGTCGTCACAGGCTGGACACGGATAGGAGCAGGATGATGCCGACGCTCGTGAGCAACACTTAACAAATGGCTGCCGAATCATGCGGCCAAGGACAAGGACATCACGGAGGTCGGCACTCACCCTGGTCACCCACCACATCTGCCGATGGTGTGCGGCGGCGCCCAGGAGGCAAAACACGACTCACCACAAATCTGCGTTGCAGTGCGCTAGTTTATAACTGCAGCTTCTCACCGCCCACAGTCGATCAGCAGGGCAGCAGCTGGCGGCAACCAGTGACCAAGCCACTTGTTGAACGTATTGACAGCTGCCGGGATAGCAAATCAGGCACTACGTTCAGCATTTCAGGTGCGTTTCGTCTTCCATGTCTGGGGCATCCACTCAACAAATGCAAGTAACTAAGTTATCTTGTGTCTACCAAAAAAACCCCAAACACGGGAATCTCACTGACTTCTCGGATCAGTGAATTGGTGTGCTTTCCCACAAAGCTGGCGTCTTTTGAGAGGGAACCGACAAGTAAGTGCACTGGGCGGTGCCGCAGCATCCCGACTATTAGCGTTTCGAGTTGTCTGTAGGGCTTGTTCTTTTCAGGTCTCATGCTCCAGAATCATCGGCACTGTCGACGGACTCCCAGTTCTCTCAACGACAGTCTCTCGACGTGTTTGTTCGATCAAATACACTCGCCGTCCCAAAACTATCCCTAAGGGTCCGACGTCAAGCATAAACAGCAAAGTACCACAGCATGCAGTCCTGAATCTATGTTCACACGGGTCCTAGAGTTGCAAATCACTTGTGTGATTGGACCCTCAGGGTATCTGCCAAAGGCAAAACTTTGACATAATCGGACTGTTTTTCCTATGCCCAGCTGCCTCGCATGAGTACGCATCGAAGAGCGACATGCGTCGTGCGTGGCAGGGCATTTCTCAATCAATTCGTCTGCGAAGTAGATATCGATGATCGATGATACCGCACTCTTCGGCTGGTCATTCTTACTGCTGAGTCTCGCAGACGCTTCCAAAGAGGCTTTTGAAAGCCTTCTTCTTCTCATTGATTGGGCTCTGCCTCCTAAGGCAAGAGTCAGCTCAAGGGTTGCAGGAGGCTCCATGTGCGTAAGCTTGTAACATTGACATCCGGGGTTGTAATCCAGGAGTTGCAGCAATCTCATGTAGGATTGTGGAGGGGTGCCGGAAGCTACCACTAGGCAGCTCTTGAACCCTTGAACTTGAAACGGTCCCAGCAACTTATGAACGTCTATGGCCAAGAAATCACAGCACCTGTACTTCTTCTGCTCCAAGGCCCTGGGCGTCCTCCGTGTATCGCAGCTACTGAGGCTGATGGAGTGATCCGGCTCGCTGTCTCTTGCTGCACACCCCACCCCCCCCCCCCTCCCCCCAAAGCCCAAAGCTCTTAAAGAAGCGCCTTGCCCGAGCTATGAGCACACTGCCCCTGAACGAGCGTGCCAGGAAGTTCTCGTCCTTGTACACGTGGAAGCTAACTCTGGACCCTGTTTCGATTGTTCCCGACGTAACGTCCTGGCAAGCTGAGAGACATGCCATGATTTTATGCGTGGCGGCTCCAGTCAAGATGTCCAGCTGCCTGTGCTTGTTCCTTAGCCGGCCTTCTTGCTTGCGTAGATCTTCCCCTCGCGCTGCTTTGCCGAGGGGTGGTCAATGGGCGCGCTGGACTTCAGCCAGCCGAAGCTTTCCTCCAAAGAATTTTCAGGGGCTTGGCCGACAGGGTGCGCAAGAAATCGCACGCGCCTTCCACTCCAGGACCTCGCCCTTCACCGGCTCCTCTGTAACCCGCTCGCGCGGGAGATTGGGCCCAGAAGGCCCTCCGCCCCACCTCCGAACACAGACCAGGGACGTCTCCAGGATCTGCACTTTTCAGCTGGCCTGATCCTAACAGTCCTACTAGTAGCAAAAAAATGAAGCTCCAACTCCCAAAGCATTTCGAAGATCCTGGGCTCGCGGGCCCCTGCTGCTGAGCGGCATCATCTGCCAGTCCCAGGGGCCCCACATGAAGCCGAAGCCCTTCCCTTTGCCTTTGCCCTTGCCTTTCCTCAGATCTGACTTGAATGCCCTAGAAAGCAGGAGAGTCTGAAGATCATCATGCATGTCGGCTCACTGATCTCTGCACCTTCAGGCCTGCGAGACTGAGTCTGTAGTAGAATTTTGCTTTTTTTTTGCATCTGGTTTGCAGCGACTCAACCAGGACAGAAACAAGAGGCACACCCGNNGAAGCCTCCGGACTCGCGCCAACCATTTTTGGTTGAACCCTCGAGCCCAGCCAGACAACAAATTGCGGCGAGTACACACATCAAAGCGCTAAAGGATTACAGTAGGAGGTTTGACATGCTCGCGCGTGATCGTGGAATCTAAGTGCAGGTCCCCGCGCCCTTGGGCTTAGCAGCCTCTGCCATCATCTCTGTGTCCTTTGTCTCCGTCCCGCACGGCTAACATGAAGCCATGAGTTTGTGTCAGAGACATGTTTAGCTGCTTAGCTTAGGATTTCCCGTGCATCACGTAGTCCAATGTGTTCTGGTGAGAAAGCTGAACGCTCCTATGTCTGTTTCACATAAGGCCTCGCTGATCTGCTTCAGTGCGATTTCTGCTGCACTTTGCTCAGCCTGCAAGCTGCTTGCTTCGGGCTCTTGGGCAGGGCTAACCAGCAACAGCATGCGACAACGTGCGACAGCAGCAGGTCGCTACTCCCGTGAGACGCTGTGGTCCGGCCTTCTGTTTGGTAGAGCTGACATGGCCTGCCCACACGCGGCTGCCCCAATCGCCAGGCAAGGCCTTCAGCTGCACTGTTGCCTGGCCGGCGGGACATGTGTCTGCAGAAAGCTTCACTCCGCCGGCGCGCTGCCTGGTGACCCCCACCGGCGTAAGTTTTTGTCTCGTAGATGGTCTCGCCCTTCTGAAGATAGCGCTTGGCAATTTTCATGACCTCGCAACGTCTCAAACGCAACGCCATCCAAACGGTTCTTAGGTTCAGTCGGTTGCGCTTGCGTTGGGTTTCGATGTATGGCTTCGTCAAGTGTGCAATCCATCTTGCAGCCGACTGTGCCCTCTGAGCCGACATACTTTAAGGAAACTCCGAACTGCAGTTTGCCATGATTTAATGGGACCACTCGCGACCGAGAGCAGCTTGGTCGGCGACCAAGGCATTGAGCTTCCTTGGCGGCGGACATGAACTTGAAGAACATGCATGGATAGTCAGTGTGCTGTTTAATGAGTCTAATGCTAAGAGAGTTAGCATGTTAGCGCACAGATTCGTGTGCCGAGGGGGACTGACCCGTCTTTCCACACATGGCAAGTTCATGCGAATGGTTCATCCCGGGGCGCGTCTTCGGCGTCACCGCGGGGTTGTCGCCTTCCTGCAAGCAAGCTCAGGCTATGTAAGGATGTGGAAGTTTGGCCATGTCATGCTTTCCGTCGACAAGGTCACAATCCACCGCAAACGCGCGCGCGCGCTCGGCGCTGCTTTAGGCAGCTGCTTCTTGTGCCACTCTTCCGCCACCCGGAGCCTCCGCTTGCTTTGCCTTCTTAGCGGCAAGCTCAGCGGGCGTGAGCCTTGGGCTGACGCTGGAAAGGCTCGCAGGCTCAGAATGGTTCGAACCCAGACCATGCCTGAACAACCGCGGGTTGCCTAGACTTCTGCGCCCGGCCTCGGCCGCTCCTTCTTCTTCTTTGGATCCTTCCAAGCAAAGACTGACTGGGTCTGAAAAAGCTGCGACGGGATCCGGGCTCATCTCTTCGTGCGTCTCCGTGCCAGTAGAAGCCGGGCCTTGCTTGCCGGCGGCGGCAGTGTTGCCATCCTTGGTCTGGCAGATGTTGGCAGATGTTGATGGAACGGCGATGGAAAAGATTGCGGACGGCCCAAGAGCCCAAGCAAGGTCGATTTCCTCTCAGTCTTTGCCAAGCATCTGAGGCCGGAAAGCCATGACCGCTTGCTCAGCTGCGGACTTTTCCTGGGATGTCACAGAGGACCGAGGTTGACTCCGGAGCCCTCGCCATGCTTGGGGCCAAATCCGAGGAAGCCCAGAAGCCCATCACTTAAGCACCCAGCTGGTCTTCCGAGCCAAGATGCCGCCTCCTTCTGGTTCAAACAAAGGTGGCCAGCGTACTCCTGACCCTGACGACAGGACGGCAATGGATCTGGGTCCTCTAGGTGAGGTTGGGGTTCTGTCTCGTGCAGGGCCGCATCAGAAAAAAGGGATTTTGCGGCATGCTGCAGGCCGGCCTGAATGCAATCCAGCTTCACGATGCTTTGATACCTTGGGTGCAGATTCACGGCAGTGCCCGGGTGAACTGCCCATGGGGACTGCAAGCAGATCTTGCTTGAGGCCTGTGGCCGAATCCCAAGACGCGAAGCACGTTGGATACCACAGGTGACACCAAGCCGCATCACAACTCAATGTGCAAGGCATAGGGCATCGATTCAACTACTGCAGGTCGAGGCAGACAGTGCGTGAGATGGGCGAATGCGGCTCGCAGCCACTTCGATTCTTTTGACTGACCCCGGACTTCGTTGCCATCCGAGGTAGTTGTCAATACGAAGACTTCTTTTTTCAACCATGAAACGAAAATGACTTGCATCCTGACTTAGGACCTCTACTTCTCGATACCCGAAAGGCCGTGCCAGCTCGGAGCATTTACACAGAAGCTTGAAAGGAGAGCCACTGGTTCCCGAACTTGTTCGTGGTGTAGGAGATATCCTTGGTTCAGACACCAGGCCCCTACAAAATTCATGGAAACAGGCGGATGTGCACAATTTAAGCAATTGGTAATCGGCTGAAGCTTTTCGGCCGGCACAGAGCTCCACAGGGCAAAATCTCACAAAGACACACACGTACGAGTAGAAGCCTCATGTTAGTATCCGGCCCTCCAGTACACTGTCAGCCATGGCTCGGCTTTGGTGACCGGCCGCTGGCAGTACCTCTGGCAAAAGTGGTTGAGCTCCTGGCATACAGCAATGGCAGGTGCAGGAGCAGGTTCCGGGGCCTAGCAGCGTGATGGCACTGAAGTTGGCGATTCGACGATGCGCTTCGAACAAACATGGCACGCTCTGCTCATGGCACTGGAGCACCGGAAGCTGAAATTCTTCAACCCTGTTTCAGCCCCAGCCGTCTGGGGTCCGTCTTCGGGTCTGTTGTGGCAGCAGCCTGCATCGAGGTGGGAGCCTTGCAAGTCAGAACAGTCTATCCCTTGGTTCTGAGAAGACAGGGCTTCGAATTGTGCTGCTGCGTGCGGATGATCGGATGATGAGTCTTGGCTATTTTCGGGCAGATCACCCAGAGGCTTTTCGTCTGCGCACCCCAGTCGTTAGATGGGTTCACCAAAGAGTCTAAGCCACAGGAAACTGCTAGAGTCCTGTCAGAGCTTGCCAAACGCTCGCACTGATTGTGCAGACATGTGGCCGCCATAATCACCTTTTGGCCAGATGTGGTCCAAGTGGCACTTGTGGCTGAGAGCCAAGCAGCTGCGGGCAATCAGCCGTGAGCAAGGAAACAAGCAGAGTTTCTTGTCTACGACCCTCTACTTTGCAGCAGAAATGAGACCAGCAACCCAGCTCACCCACATTCGCAGTCGCTTGTCATGAACTGTAGCGTCTTGGTGGATTGCATTGCCCCCGGCGCCGACCACCGCGATAGTGTCCCCCTCCTTTCCGATGCATTTCCGGTCTCTGTCTACATTATCCAAGCTATGTCTCGCTTGCAAACGCTGACTAAAATCATTTTCAGGATTTGGTGGGTTTTGGGTTCAGTATCAGCACAGTGCAGACTCGGGGTGTGGCCACCCCATGCCCTGCAATCCTCGACAGGTCCACCAGCTGCCCTGGAAACACGAGGCCTCGTCTTGCAGACCGCTGCTGCCAGTTGTGGACATTGCCATGACACTGGGGACCGAACGAACGCAGTCCGTTCCGCTGCGAGCCGCGGCTCAAGCGCCCTGGAGTCTCTGACTTCAAACGTGCGCGGTTTGCGAAGGGCCTTTGCAGCAAGTGCCTCCTCGCAGGCCAAAGCGAAGGACACAGCCTCAAGTCCAATTCTGCAGAAAGCCACGCCAAGACCTCCCTGAGCCGAATTGATTCAGACACTTCATCTGCGTTGTGGTGCAGGGGAAACTGAGTTTTGCTTGCATGTCGAATCGCATGGCAACCGCTTGAGGCTCTGACCTGAAAGTAGCAGCAGAGCTGGTTTCGCCTCCAGCTAATTATTTAATGTCCGGGCACCTATGACAAACCTCGCCAGGTGTGGAGACGAAGTCGTTTGAAAAACAAGCTACAAAGGCCAAAAAGAGCGAGAACGCAAGCAACGCCTTCTCACATTTGTGATGCTGATGCTTGCACGATGCTTCGCAAATAGATGCTGCTGGGCCGGCAGCGGCGTGACTCTGGCTGCCAGATCGGTGGGCCGACTGCAGCAGAAGCGAAAGCAGTTCGGGGTACTGTCAGCAATCACTCGGCGATAACTGCCGTAAAAACAGTGTCAAGACCCCAAACCGTTCAGAGCGCTGCCACCACGAACTTCTGAATAGGTACTCTGATGCAAACTATGGAAGTGGAGCATCCCTTGATGCCTCGGCCCATGCTCTGTGCAACGACAATTTGTTCAACAGAGCCCGGAGGCAATGCACGAACTCTTCTGCTTCTCAGCTCAGGCATGCCAAGGCGAGCCTTCTGCGTCTCGCTGCACGGCCTGCAACAGAGAGATGGGAGCTGACTATGCAAAAAAAGGAGGGGCCGTGGTGTTTCGCAGTTTTCTGGACAATGGTATATCGGCCTAGCTACAGTAACAACTGTCTCAGAGACTTCGATGGCTGCTTGCTCTGCGGAGCGCAAGCCATGGGCAGAAGCATGTCGAAGGCCCTTGACTAAGTTCCAAAGAAATAAGGTCTGAGTGATGGGGACAGGAAGCTTGCATGAGAACAGTCTGCTGAGCACGAGACAACAGTGGGCACGATCTCCGGATGAAATCACACCGGCTACAATGCCGACCGCGGCATCATGGACTACTGCAAGTACTTACAGCGGTAGGACTCCAGAGTATTGTCAATGCGTTGTTCGACTCTCATTCTCGCACAAGCAGGCAAGGCTCCACACAAATCCGTCACGCTAGAGAAGACACGTCAAATGATTTCGTCGTGCTACACGCCTTCGTATGGGCACTGCTGCAGTAGGCGGCGGAGAGGGTGTCAGCATCATTGCTGCTTTTAACGACATTCGCTATAGCTTGTGTGCGCATGTAAGCCGCTGATGCGTACGGTGTGTAAGCACCCAAACGAATAAATATGCGGGTCTTCGGCTTTGACCTTGGGACTTCGGACATCTCCCGACGATGCTCCGAGCAAGTGATAGAAATGCTCTCGGTGGAAAGACTCACCTGCTCTTGTGCTGTGGGATGCTTGCTGGTTCATAGTCTCGCAAGGTGTACATGGTTTGGTAGTAGCCGCCATGCTTGCTTGTTCATAGTCAGTCTTCTCTCAACAGAGAGATTGAGAACAATGTGAAAGCAATAACCTCCTCAGCATCCTACTCATAAAGCGGACACCACATGAATCGTTGAGCTCATGATATCTCATGCAATCACTGTAAATGATTGATTCAGCTGTGCCGTGCTGCAGTACAAGCAGCATGAGCTGTGGCACTGTTCGCAAGCTTACAGAGGAGTCAAAGCGGGTAATGCAGAAGCGGGGTCTCAGCGCGGATACACAACACTACACGAGACAACACAAGCACAACTCACATGCTGATCCCTACCTGATGGGGCTCATGCGGTTCTTTGCAAGCCTGTTCACAAGCTCGTTCTCAACATGAGAGGATTCGATGCGAGCGCTTTTGGCTTTCGTTGCCGAGCACGGGTCTCGCTGCAATCGCAGGGGACTGCCCGAACGACAGCAACGCCTGCACCTTGGTCTGCAGCACTAAAGCTCTCCGGCACCGGCTCTGCAGGCTCCGAGTGTGATGCCCAGGTGATGCCGAGATGGCTCGGCAGGTTTGGGCCGGGGGCTTTCCAACTTTCGATGTCGAGAGGCTTCAGCTGTACAATGGATCGATGAGCTCTTTCCACATCTCCTACATTTGAGCCACGAATCTGGGAAGACTAGCTGGAGTTCAGATCTCACTACAATCGCCCAGACTCCGACAGCAAGCTTCTGCTCCTCAGTCACGGATCGTTTCAGCTTCATTGTTGGCGTAAACTCTCCTGTCGCAGGCTTCAGTCTGCACATCTGCCATACCAACTAGGAGCTTTTCAAGGCAGAACTACTGCGAAACTTGCACCGTTGCACCGGGATATTGCGAGAATGATTCCGCTCACTCCCACAGCCCCCATCGGTTTCCCAGTCAGATGCTTCGCAAACACGGGACTGCTCCGTCCCGGAACGTCGCGGCCTGTTTGTACCGAGAAATCTCGGGGAGCGATCACAAACTTCTGGATCTTCCAGTTGTTGTTCTGGCAAACATTCCTCAGTGTCTCGTTGCTGTGGATGGGCTCAGGGTCCCTCGCGAGCCAAGCTCTGACAAGGACTATGAGAGAAGCCATCGCCCTTGTAAGCTTCAATACCCCCCACATCAGAACCTGCAGACTGAAGCCGGTGAGAGTGCTGCCAACACAGCGATGGCGACAGCCAGCGCTGCCGCCGAGCGGCGTGTCAGAGTTGGTTTCCTCGATGGCTTTCTCGATGTACTTCTGCCACGCAGGATCCTCCGGACAAGGAACGGTTCACTTTGCGAATTCTCAGCGGCAGGATCCGAGTTTCACGGCGCCATGCTGCAACACTGAACAGAATGCAAGAGCCGCACAAATCTTTTACAGCTCTCAAGACCGAACATGGCTTCTCCGCTGGCAATCAAGCAATCAGAGGAGATTGAAAGCCATCCTTCATGGCAGCTGAGACGGTCTTCACCGCTGGGTTCACCTGCCATGCACTACTCCATTTTGGCGAGAGGACTAGCACAGATACACAGTCCACTGTCTGCTTTCCCCAAAACTTCAGCTAACTTACGGCTCGCAGTCCAACCCTCAGATCACATTACGATTCATTACGTCTTGTTGGGCTGACATCTCCGCGCAGCTCGTGGTCAGTGCCCTAAGTAAGTGTCGAAAGACGATCAGAAAAGATATGCCATGTCCGGCGTCAATTTTGCTTGTCGTGCATGTCGAACAAGTGGCGATCGTGGCAAGATACCTACCTACCTACCTACCTACCTACCTACCTGCCTACCTGCGTACATACATACATACATACATACATACATACACACATACACACATACACACAGGCATGTTGCATCATGTAGACGGGCAGGCAAGCATGTTTACACACCAACATATGCTGAGAACCAGCTTGGGAAGTGTGTGATCCCAGTATCCTGGGATGATACCACAGAATGCTTCAGCCACCTTCAGCCTCGAGCAGAACAGTAGCATTCCTTGGCCCCTACATGACAAAACTCACACTTCTCGGCAAACCAGCGTCGATTTAAAATATATAGCAAATCATCCAAACAAACCCGATAAGCCCCGAGTGAGCTTGCGGTACCTTCCCTGCACGCACGAGCTTCACTTCGCCACCGGCCTTCCAGCATCACGAGAGCAAGCGAATTTCATCTGCAAGTTTGCATCTTGGGGTCTACGGCCTTGGCCTATGCTTGCTAAGTGTGCACGCGTGCACATCTGAGGGAATGCTTGTAAAACATTCTGGGTGTGCTGCCAATGCACGGATAAACTCCCGCAGAAAAGCCCTCTCAAGGTGTTCGCCGCCTTGACACAAACCACCCACCCTCCTTCAACTGCCGAGCTTCTGTGAAGCAAGCCAGTTTTGTCTCGGCTCGTTGGGCTTTCAACATCTATTCAAAAAGAGCGTTGATGCAGCCTGTCTATATCTATGTAAACTATATACATACGTATAGACAGACAGACACCCACACACACACACATCTATATATTCATGCGCATGTACTACTGTCAACCCTGGTTTCGAACTGGGTCAAGATATTGACGTTGTCCTATGGAGGTCAGATGGCTTGAGACACGACCAATTCCCCTGATCCCTGCGACAATTACACCGTGCCGAACTCGCAAAGACTCTCAGCTCTACACTAGCCAGCTTGTGCAAGATGCCGTGCACGGATGTGTTATACCTTGTACAAGCTGCCACGGCTATAGGCTTCGATATTATTGCACCTGCTGGTAGCGAGCTTTGCAGCACATGCGTCCTTGCAAGTTCTATCTCCGCATTCCTGAATGTCTGTGCTGTGGCCCGGTTCTGTCATCCTTAAGTAAGACCGGAAAGGTAAGGAACCGAAACTGGAACCTCGAACCCGGAAACGTGTTTGGATCTGAGGGCATCCGTTTTATGGGATCCTCTGGAAGGCGAAACAACCGTGTGGCAGAGCATCCAAAGCGAAAAGCGTACTCCCGCGCGTGCTGCTGGAGAGGGGCCCGGAGCCACGCGGGGGAGTACAAAGTTCGGGGAGTTCGGGGCCTGAAGCTTGCGAAAAGTGTACTCCCATGCGTGCTGCAGGGGAGGGGACCGGAGCCACGCGGGGGAGTACACAGTTCGGGGAGTCCGGGGCCTGAAGCTCGCGAAAAGTGTACTCCCGTCAGTAATGGTAGTCTTAAGTAAGTAGCAGTAGACGAGAAGTAGCGGCGGTAGTAAAAATGGGGGAAACACGATCTGGGATGTGTGTACGGGCAGGTGTTTTGTGAAGGGTTTCCGAAATTCTAGGGGCTGCGCCCACCGGCGGGCAGCGCAGGTAGCAGCCCGGACAAACCGAAGTTTGCTTGAGCTTCAAATCGCAAACCATCTAGAACAACATTTAGCTGCCGCCCTCCCCCGTGTCCCCAGGGCCCCACTGATGCTGATGATGCGCGCCCAGAGTCACGGACTGGGGCCGCTGATGCTCATGATGCGCGCCCTTTGGTGGCTACCCATGGCTATCCCAAAATTACGCAAACAACACTCGAAAACGGGTAGGGGCATTGGCGGTCGCGTCTTTTGATAAACCAAAGCTAGCAAGCTTTGCCCAGGCTAAGCCTGGAACTCACAGGTCGCATGCGCTCGGGGACCGGGTGCTGCCCGATTTTTTTTCGGAGCCGCCAGGAACCGCGAACCGAACCGCAGGAACCGCAGGAGAAACCGAAACATATGAACCTGAACCGCTGTTTCAAAACCGCAACCGAACCGAACGGAAGCGTTACATTTATGTAAGAAGAACCAGAAGAACACCAAAAACAAACACACACCACGAGCCCTACCTGGCTGTGCTTCACTGCGAGTCTGCCCGAGCTACCTGAGCGCAGATGACTCATTGGGGGGTTTAGGGCAAGAAAAGGGGGATAGTCCAAGCAGAGTCGTTGCTTCTCGGCTACAAAGTTTTGGCAATCCGGAGAACAAGATCACAAGAAGGTCTGCAACGGCTATGTCGCAGGGTATGTCGAACTAAGAATGTTGTGTCCCTAATCCCACATTCCACAACATCTGATGGTAATCCCGCGGTTGTCAAGAAGGCTCCGTCAAAGAGTGGCTCGTGTTAATGGTTGCTTTCGTGCTCCACCAGCGCGTAGTTGACGTAGTACCTACACGCTCGATCACAACGATGAGAACTGAGGCACAGGAAAGGATACCATGTGCGGCATTCCGAGTACAGCCCGTCTTCCACTAAAGATGGATTTCAAAAAAGACCTTGTCGATCTTCAAAAATCCCTGGAGTCCACAGGGTATTGGACTGCCAGGTTGGACTACAAGGTCTGCAACAAGCGGGGTCTTGGGAGAAATTCTCGGCACCTTATTTCGACGCTCGCACTCGGACAATCCGGCACCTTAGAAAAGGGGTCCTCGAAATAAGGATCCCGGCTTCCATTTAGGGTCTTTAAAAATCCCTGACTTTCGGAAACTCCCATTATCCCATGTACCCTTTGCTAAGCCGGCGGCTATTGGCAAACTCTTTCGCCATCTCTGACAAGCCTGGCCTCAGCCAAGTTCACTGGTTCCAAGGTTTGAAGTAAACCCCAAGCCGTAAACCCTACACCCAATAAATCCCATAGCAGAACTCTGGAGCTTCGCAGCGTATAAGAGCGCCCAAGCCCCCAGTCGACACTCCAAGGTCTTGGCGGGATGCTCTGGCGCGCCTCTCCACACAGGGCCAATGATAACAGGTCAGAAAGAGCTAGATGTCGGGGGGAACCGGAACCATCTGGGAACTCGCTCAGGAGCGTTGCGAAGGCAAATCAGCAGCAGCAGTGCAGCCATGGCAACCAGCTTTTTGAATACTGCAAGTGCCCTTCATCATGACACATCTCGCAGTGGTTGCAATAGCAGTAGCAGTGTCAGCAGGAGCAGTCGTCGTCCTGGTCGTCGCAGTAGCAGTGGCAGTAGTCGTCGTCGTAGTTCCAGTATTACCAACAGCAGTTGTCACGGAGTCTGGAGGAAGCAGTACCGGCCAGAGTTATACTTGAAGTGACGGTGCAGGTAATACCACGCACACTAGCCATGAGCCAGGACAACAATTTGAACAAACACACCGCACGGCAACACGGAAAAGGGACCCAAATGATGATGATCATGGTGGTGATGATGTTTATGCTGATGCTGATGACACTGCTGCCAACGAGGGGGATGATGATGATGATGATGATGATGCTGCTTAAGGGTTGATGATGGTGGTTAGGATGCTTTCCTTCCACAATCAACTTCAAGAAGCATCGAGAAGTCAGTCGGGCTCGACTCCAACAATGCCCTGCTCTCATAGCAGACAGAACGGGAAGGTAAAGTCTCAAGCCAAAGAATGAGACCGGACGCAGCCAGTCATTGAATCTGTGTCTGATCTCTTCCTGCTAGACTGAACCTGCACATCCAGGCAAATCATCCCTCCACCGCCCCCAGGCCGTTTCAACAAAGATATGTGTATATATATATATATTTATATATGTGTATATATATATATGTATATATATATATATATATAAGCTTCTTATCATCCATGCCTCCTGGAGAAGCTTGAGCAGAGGTCCCGCTAAGCGCTCGTCACCATCCGTGACCTCATGGCTACTTCGGCTTCTTTGGGCCTCGAGTTCTTGAAGTGCGCAACTCGTTTCGCATGACCTTCTTCAATAACACCACCTGCAGCAAACGCAGGTTGCGAATACTAGTGCCTGGCATGCAACAAAGCACCCATCATACAAGTACATGTATCCTCCACACTACACTACCGTAAATCTCACTTGAACACACCTGGAGCTCATGCGAAATTGCATGCTGCACCTTGCCAGTACATGACAGAGGCTCACCTTACAACGTGCGGTGTATTTCAAAAACAGCAGCGATCTCAGTGTGACATGTCGCCAAACTCTGTGTTTTCCGGCTTGCCCGTTGCATGTGGCTTGGTGCTGTAAGCACGAATGCATTGTCCATAGCAGCTAGTTTGTCTTCTACCAGGTTAGATCAAAACTACAGGTCAACACAAGCGCCATGCATGGGCTGCCGGCGAATGTGATGGCAGTACCTTCGCGACCGGCCCGACCACATCGGCCAATGCGGTGGATGTAGCTGTCGATCTTGGATTGAAACGTTCTGGGTCTGAGCTTGCTTCTGGGCTGTGTCTGGTTCGAGCTTCATTAGGAGGTGTCTCGCGTTTCTTGCTCTTCGCGTCCTTGGCATGAGGACCCAAATTTGGGATCGCTAACTTTGAGAAGCTCGCAAGTGGTTGGGAGCCCGCAAGGGCTAGCATCATGAGCATCAGCTGGATTGTGTTCAAAACTCTCACTCGCCGATGGTCTGGCCCTTGAACCCACAAAAGGCGTAGCAGCTCGACCGAGTCGTTGGACAGATTTAGGGAGCCCGCGGGGCGAGCATCATGAGCATCAGCTGGATTGTGCTTACAA